AGGTCCTATACATAGGGGCAGTACTCAGTGACATCACTTCCTGAAAAAGGAGGTAACCCATTTCATGTAAACTTCTAGGAGCCACAACGGCTCAGCCGGGAAGTGGTAGGCCACACAAGCTCACAAAACGGGACCGCTGAAGCGTAGAGCGTAAAGATCTTCTGTCCTCGATTGCAACACTCACTAACGAGTTCCAAACTGCCTCCGGAAGCAACGTCAGCAGAAGAACTGTTAGTCGGGAGCTTCATGAAATGGGTTTCCATGTCTGAGCAGCCGCACACAAGCGTAAGATCACCATGCGCAATGCCAAGCGTCGGCTGGAGTGATGTAAAGCTCACCACCGACTCTGGAGCAGTGGAAACACGTTCTCTGGAGTGATGAATCACGCTTCACCATCTGGCAGTCTGACGGATGAATATGGGTTTGGCGGATGCCAGGAGAACGCTACCTGCCCGAATGCATAGTGCCAACTGTAAAGTTTGGTGGAGGAGGAATAATGGTCTGGGACTGTGTTGTGGAAATTCTTACACAGGGACACTCAAAGTCAATCTTAAATGAATCATTGTTCATTATCAGCGCGCTGGAGAGGTTCCAGCAAACTTAATGCATCATATTGAACGTCTGTCAGGAGCTCTGCTGGGGCAGTCCCAGCAGTTGTCTTATATACGGCTATACACAGACAAGGTATATTTGCATGATTTAGCATAATTAATGAATCATTACTGTTTTGTTCCATTCATGTGACTGACCAATAACGGTTCATAAAATGTGACATACCAATACCTCACAAGGCTTCTTCTCTCTAAGCTGAGACCTTGAAACAGAGATATCTTTTGTTCTCAAAACAAAGGTCTGGGCATAATGCCAAATTGCAACTACTGATAGTGAGGATTCGTTCAGTCAATCACTTGCATTAACACAGAAAACAGTTATTAGGAAAGCACATGAATAGAACACAGAAATTAGTTATTAGAAAAGCACAAACATAAAATTTTTCCAGCACAGCTGTTTTTCATGATTCGGGCTATGCCCCTTAGTTCCAGTGAAGGGAACAGCATACAATTACATTCTAGATGATTCTGTGCGTCCAACTTCGTGGCAATAGTTTGGAGAAGGCCTTTCCTGTTTCAGCATGACAATGTCCCCGTGCACAAAGCGAGGTCCATTCAGAATGGTTTGTCGAGATCGGTGTGGAAGAACTTGACTGGCCTGCACAGAACCCTGACCTCAACCCCACCGAACACCTTTGGGATGAATTGGAACGCCGACTGTGAGCCAGGCCTAATCGCCCAACATCAGTGCCCGACCTCACTAATGCTCTTGTGGCTGAATGAAAGCAAGTCCCCACAGAAATGTTCCCACATCTAGTGGAAAGGCTTCCCAGAAGAGTGGAGACTGTTATAGCAGCAAAGGGGGGACCAACTCCATATTAATGCCCATGATTTTGGAATGAAATGTTCGTTGAGCTGGTGTCTACATTCCTTTGGCAATGAAATGTACCTCACGGCGCAAGGAGCAAAGAAGACCTGTAGACACAGATCTCAGTTATTTAATGTTAGTTATTACAGACAGATCTTGAAATTACAACACTGCAATTGCAATTATTTTATTTTATTTATGTCCAAGATTGCTAGCTACAAAGTGAACTGGCCAGCTAGATAACTTTAGCTGCCTCTAGATCCAGTTTGCCAGCAGAGCAGCACTCGCCACAAAGACAGGTAAGTCACTTTTGCTTTTAGAACTTTCTAATAATCTCTAAAGTTGTTTGACATGTGATCACACCAGCTAAATACAGTACCAATCAAAAGTTTGGACACACCTACTCATTCCAGGGTTTATCTTTATTTTTACTATTTTCTACATTGTAGAATAATAGTGAAGACCTCAAAACTATGAAATAACACATATGGTATCATGTAGAAACCAAAAAAGTGTTAAACAAATCAAAATATATTTTATATTTGAGATTCTTCAAAGTAGCCACCCTTTGCCTTAATGACAGCTTTGCACACTCTTGCCATTCTCTCAACCAGCTTCATGAGGTAGTCACCTGGAATGCATTTCAATTAACAGGTGTGCCTTGTTAAAAGTTAATTTGTGGAATTTCTTTCCTTCTTAATGTGTTTGAGCCAATCAGATGTGTTGTGACAAGGTAGGGTTAGTATACATAAAATAGCCCTATTTGGTAAAAGACCAAGCCCATATTATGGCAAGAACAGCTCAAATAAGCAAAGAGAAATGACAGTCCATCATTACTTTAAGACATGAAGGTCAGTCAATCAGGAACATTTCAAGAACTTTGAAAGTTTCTTAAAATGCAGTCGCAAAAACCATCAAGCCCTATGATGAAACTTGCTCTCATGAGGACCCCCACAGGAAAGGAAGACCCAGAGTTACCTCTGCTGCAGAGGATAAGTTCATTAGAGTTACCAGCCTCAACCCAATTGAGATGGTTTTGGATTAGTTGGACTGCAGTGAAGGACAAGCAGCCAACAAGTGCTAAGCATATGTGGGAACTCCTTCAAGTCTGTTGTAAAAGCATTCCAGCTGAAACAGGTTGAGAGAATGCCAAGAGTGTGCAAATCTGTCATCAAGGCAAAGGGTTTGTTTAACACTTTTTTGGTTACTACATGATTCCATATGTGTTATTTCATAGTTTTGATGTCTTCACTGTTATTCTACAATGTAGAAAATTGTAAAAATTGGTAGGTGTGTCCAAACTTTTGACTGCTACTGTATAGCTGTAAAAAGACTGTTGATGAAATGGGTTGTTTCTTTGTAGCTTGCTCTCTAGCTTGGTTGTAGTCTGTAGGCTGCAGTAGGCTAACAGTAATGTTAAAGTACTAGCTAACTACACCTTTACTGAATGACAACAATGTAGCCTGAACACTTTTCTGTCTAGCTAGTTGGGATTAGAAAATGATAAATGAACATATGGAGAGATCACACATTCATGCAGCTGTGGTGGTGTCACTTTTTTCTTGCTATCTACCTGCTTTAAAGAGTGAAAAAACTCAAGCCTTTATCCATACCCGCAGGTCTCCCACGAAAAAGGGATGTTGACTTCAACCAGGTAATTAAAGCTTAAATGTTCTGTGCACTCTCACTAGATAGAAGTGTGTGGTTCAGTGGCAGATTTTCAAAAGAAAATAGACAATGATAATATCAGCAAATCTCTATCAGATTAAACACACCTGTTCACATTCATTTACAGATGTTACTTAGATTGAGGATTATTTCCATATCTGTTATTGCTCATGGTGTAACTATGTGCTGTTGTTTCTAAACCCAGAGCAAACCAAAAGCTGCCACCATTGCTGTGGGTGCCGGATAGACAACGGTGATAAATATCTCATTCATATTGAATTTTATTCATAAATGTTGCCACTTAATTTACTGTGTGGATATTGTCATAAGTTATGCATACTTATTATATATTCCATTACCCTTGGTCCTCCATTCCCGAACGTGAAGGAGCCTGGCCCTAACAGGAAGGACCGGAATAAAGTGTTGGCTTAGGGAATGACTTTGTATTGAGTCAAATTAAGATCAAGTTTATATTTATATTTAGAGTGACTGACATGAATTGGAGCATGAACAGGAATAGTCTACACTCAGGTGGAACAACAGATATGTAATGCATTTGTCAACAATTGTTGTGACAATTAACGCATATCACAACGGTCGAGAGGTGCATACACACTTGCAATGTAGCCTACATCCATTGTTAAACTAGTGATGACTAAAGCCTCGATGAGTAACGCCTCGATCACACCGACAGTGTCATTGCGTTTTGGTACACCAGAAGTACATTTATTTCCATTGGAGCGCTGCGTTTGCCTTGCAGCATTGCGTTGCAGAGGCAGTTGCATTGCGTTCTGTGTGGTGCATACTTTGGATTTATCAGAAGTATGCATCAAATTGTATGTGTAGACGGCTTGACAGAAATGGTAGCAGAAGGTGAATGTTGAACATTTGTTGCACACATATCCAGATGATGCTGAGTACTATTTCGCGCAATGACGCTGTTGGTGTGATCGAGGCGTAACCCCTACAGGTTTTGTAACTTTACATGATTAAGCCTATGTCAATACAGATCTGAATGTTTGATATCCTTTTTACTGTACACTGTTAATAGTAGTTGATGCCAAAGCTAATCACTAAATGTCCTTCTACAAGGCTTCGGTCAGGTTGACAAACGTCTGTGTCATATGAACACACACACACAGCAGGAGTTGCCAGGGTGAGTACACTGAGCGACGTGATCACACAGTTTACTCTCTGCCTCTCAATCACACGCTCACTCACTAATGCACTCACATACTCACATGGTTTAGCTTCATGATTATTCTTATTTAAGGTATTGGGCCTCTATTTCAGGAGATAAATGACATGCATGACCTTCTGGCTCCAACAGCACAGGCCCAGCTCTAACAGTGGTCCTCCCTACAAGCTGTCCTGTTCTGCTCCCCTTTGGTGCCAGCTCCTGCCACAACAAAAGAGGCTTGCTCTGAAGAGTTCCTGCTGGATACAGGTAATTAAAATGATATTACACACATACTTATTGTGCAGGCACTAACTCATTCTGTCACACGCATGAATGCAGGCACGCACACATAAACAAACACACACACACACACACACACACACACACACACACACACACACACACACACACACACACACACACACACACACACACACACACACACACACACACACACACACACACACAATCACACACACACACACAATCACACACACACACACACACTCACTCATTCACTCATTCACTCACTCACTCACTCACTCACTCACTCACTCACTCACTCACTCATTCACTCACACACACTCGCACACACACACACTTGGTTTAGGTTAGTGTATAGTAAAGGCTTTGTCATTAAAATTATATTGCCCCTCTCTTTCAGATCTGCCAAGCACACCTCTGCCAGCCACTCCACCACTATCCTTGACATCTTCTCCATTGTACCCATCAGGAGATGAGGTGTTGCGTCTTCATCTTGGACCACGGCCGATGGACAGAGCCCATTAGAGCTGCCAGTGATGTCCTACTGGCCAAGAACCAAGAGGTGAAAGAGATCCTAAAGTGGGTGGATCTGCTTTGTTCTTAACACCATCACAGAGTAGCTCCTAGAGACATACAGCTGTAGCATTATGTTACTGCAGAGAGTGAAACAGTCAGTGTCCCAATCACGTCCCCTGCCACCTGCACTTACACAGCAGAAAGCCTCACCAATTCAAGGATGCCATTTGAGGATTTTGCTGCCACTGCCTTCTTTCAATGGGAGCTGGAGGCCTCGAAACAGAGGGGGGCAGTGAGGAAGGAGCGAACTGAGGAAAGAGAAAATCCTCAGAGCAGCATCCTTCCGGCCGTCTGTACAGGTTCTGCCACCAGCCGCTGAAACTAGGCCCCAACAGCCCTCACACACACACCGGCTTTCCTTGAGTGGCTGGAAAATATCTACTGCCTAGCCAAAGTGTTTTCCATGTACCTGGCACATGGAATTGGAGGGAGCTCCAACAGTCTGCCTTTTATGAGACTGAAAAGTAGAGATGGATGGTGGAGTAGGGGGAGTGACTTTACAGACACACAAACACACAGAAATAAATAGGAGCTATTTCCGTAGATGGAAGTAGTTTGGACTCTTGTTTGATTTGTATTTATTTCCCAGGTACTGTCCATTATTTTACCTTAGTGTACATACATGGCTGTATATCACTGTATATACAGTGGGGGAAAAAAATATTTAGTCAGCCACCAATTGTGCAAGTTCTCCCACTTAAAAAGATGAGAGAGGCCTGTAATTTTCATCATAGGTACACGTCAACTATGACAGACAAATTGAGAGAAAAAAATTCCAGAAAATCGCATTGTAGGAATCTTTATGAATTTATTTGCAAATTATGGTGGAAAATAAGTATTTGGTCACCTACAAACAGGCAAGATTTGTGGCTCTCACAGACCTGTAACTTCTTCTTTAATAGGCTCCTCTGTCCTCCACTCTTTACCTGTATTAATGGCACCTGTTTGAACTTGTTATCAGTATAAATGACACCTGTCCACAACCTCAAACAGTCACACTCCAAACTCCACTATGGCCAAGACCAAAGAGCTGTCAAAGGACACCAGAAACACAATTGTAGACCTGCACCAGGCTGGGAAGACTGAATCTGCAATAGGTAAGCAGCTTGGTTTGAAGAAATCAACTGTGGGAGCAATTATTAGGAAATGGAAGACATACAAGACCACTGATATTCTCCCTCGATCTGGGGCTCCACGCAAGATCTCACCCCGTGGGGTCAAAATGATCACAAGAACGGTGAGCAAAAATCCCAGAACTAGTGAATGACCTGCAGAGAGCTGGGACCAAAGTAACAAAGCCTACCATCAGTAACACACTACGCCGCCAGGGACTCAAATCCTGCAGTGCCAGACGTGTCCCCCTGCTTAAGCCAGTACATGTCCAGGCCCGTCTGAAGTTTGCTAGAGTGCATTTGGATGATCCAGAAGAGGATTGGGAGAATGTCATATGGTCAGATGAAACCAAAATAGAACTTTTTGGTAAAAACTCAACTCGTCGTGTTTGGAGGACAAAGAATGCTGAGTTGCATCCAAAGAACACCATACCTACTGTGAAGCATGGGGGTGGAAACATCATGCTTTGGGGCTGTTTTTCTGCAAAGGGACCAGGACGACTGATCCGTGTAAAGGAAAGAATGAATAGGGCCATGTATCGTTAGATTTTGAGTGAAAACCTCCTTCCATCAGCAAGGGCATGGAAGATGAAACGTGGCTGGGTCTTTCAGCATGACAATGATCCCAAACACACCGCCCGGGCAACGAAGGAGTGGCTTCGTAAGAAGCATTTCAAGGTCCTGGAGTGGCCTAGCCAGTCTCCAGATCTCAACCCCATAGAAAATCTTTGGAGGGAGTTGAAAGTCTGTGTTGCCCAGCGACAGCCCCAAAACATCACTGCTCTAGAGGAGATCTGCATGGAGGAATGGGCCAAAATACCAGCAACAGTGTGTGAAAACCTTGTGAAGACTTACAGAAAACGTTTGACCTGTGTCATTGCCAACAAAGGGTATATAACAAAGTATTGAGAAACTTTTGTTATTGACCAAATACTTATTTTCCACCATAATTTGCAAATAAATTTGTTAAAAATCCTACAATGTGATCTTCTGGATTTTTTTTCCTCATTTTGTCTGTCATGGTTGACGTGTACCTATGATGAAAATTACAGGCCTCTCTCATCTTTTTAAGTGGGAGAACTTGCACAATTGGTCGCTGACTAAATACTTTTTTTCCCCACTGTATTATTGTTCATTGCTATTTTGTGTTACTGTTGCACAAAGACCAACATTTTATTATAATCGCGGTGAATATGTCTTGTATTATAAACCAATTGCTATTGTTAGTGTGTGAATACGTTTGTTGTACAAAGGATTGTGCTCTGACACTGTCATAAATATGGCTTTGATTTCATTAAAGTAAACCTCAATGTAAAGCAATCTTCTGTTTGTTTTTTATATTGTAATTATATGAATTAAAATGGCAAATGCAATGTCCTCCAAATGAAAGACGTCCTCCAGCAATTTCTGAACTTTTACTTTCGAAAGCTATATCCCAACTATAAATACCGTAAATTACACACACTAAAGAGTAAAAAAAATACATTCTTAACAAAATAGTGTTTTTTAGACAACTTGTTAGGCATTTAAGGAGTTGCTCTGATGAGAATATGTGATGTCATCAGCCTCCCTCTTACTTGAGGAACAATAGAGGAGCTTATGTTCAGGGCAGGATACTGGGCAGAGGCCGGCTAGTGGTGACTATTCAACAGTCGGTTGGCCTTGAGATAGAAGCTGTTTTTCAGTCTCGGTCCCAGCTTTGATGCACCTGTACTGACCTCGCCTTCTGGATGGTAGCGGGATGAACTAGCCGTGGCTAGGGTGCTGAGGTCTTTGATGATCTTCTTGGACTTCCTGTGACACCCGGTGTTGTAGATGTCCTGGAGGGCAGGCAGTGTGCCCCCTGTGATGCATTGGGCAGACTGCACCACCCTCTGGAGAGCCCTACGGTTGCGGACGGTGCCATTCCAGGCGGTGATACAGCCCAACAGGCGGTGATACAGCCCAACATCTGTAAACGTTTTTGAGGGTCTTAGAAGCCAAATTTCTTTTGCCTCCTGAGGTTGAAGAGGCGCTGTTGCGCCGTCTTCACCACACTACCTGTGTGGGTGAACCATTTCAGATTGTCGGTGATGTGTACGCCGAGGAACTTTAAGCTTTTCACCTTCTTCACTGCGACCCCATCGATGTGGATGGGTGCGTGCTCCCTCTGCTGTCTCCTGAAGTCCACAATCAGCTCCTTCGTTTTGTTGACGTTGAGGAAGAGGTTATTTTCATGGCATCACTCCACCAGGGCCCTCACCTCCTCCATGTAGGCTGTCTCGTCTTTGTTGGTAATCAGGTCTACCACTGTTGTGTAGTCTGCAAAATTGATGATTAAGTTGGAGAAGCGCGTGGCCACGCAGTCATGGGTGAACAGGGAGTACAGGAGGGGGCTGAGCATGGACCCTTGTGAGGCCCCTGTGTTCAGGGTATTGGAGGTGTTGTTGCCTACCTTCACCACCTGGGGGCGGCCCGTCAGGAATTACAGGACCCAGTTGTACAGGGCGGGGTTCAGACCCAGGGCCCGATCTCAATGATGAGCTTGGAGGGTACTATGTTGTTGAAGGCTGTGCTGTAGTCAATGAACAGCATTCTTAAATAGGTATTCCTCTTGTCCAGATGGGATAGGGCAATGTGCATTGCGATGGAGATTGCATCATCCGTGAATCTATTGGGGCGGTATGCAAATTGCAGTGGGTCTAGGCTGTTGGGTAAGGTGGAGGTATGATCCTTAAGTAGCCTCTCAAAGCACTTCATGCTGACAGAAGTGAGTGCTATGGGGCGATAGTCATTTAGTTCAGTTACCTTCCCTCTCTTGGGTACAGGATAAATGTTGGGCATCTTGAAGCAAGTGGGGACAGCAGACTGGGATAGGGAGAGATTGAATATGTCCGTAAACACTCCAGCCAGCTGGTCTGCGCATGCTCTGAGTACGTGGCTAGGGATGCCGTCTGGGCTGGCAGGCTTGTCAGGGTTAACACGCTTACATTTCTTATTCACGTCGGCCACGGCGAACGAGAGCTCACAGTCTTTGGGAGCGGTGGTTGCCCACATCGACGGCACAGTGTTTTCCTCAAAGAAATCGAAGAAGGTCTTTAGCTTGTCCGGGAGCAAGACGTCGGTGTCCGCGACGTGGCTGGTTTTCCCTTTATAATCTGTGATTGTCTGGAGTCCCTGCCACATACGTCTTGTGTCTGAGTCTTTGAATTGCGACTCCACACTGTAGTGACGTTTTACATGTTTGAATGTATTACGGAGGGCATATCTGGACTCTTGTACCATATTCCCAGTCACTTTGCCATGGTGAAATGCGGTGGTTCTTGCTTTTAGTTTTGCGCAAATACCGCCATCTATCCACAGTTTTTGGTAAAGATAGGTTTTAATCGTCATAGTGGGAACCAAATCCCCTATACACTTCCTGATGAACTCAGTCACCATGTCAGTGTATACGTCAATGTTATTCTCAGAGGCAACTCGGAACATATCCCAGTCTGCGTAATCAAAACAATCTTGAAGCATAAATTTCAATTGGTCAGACCAGCGTTGAACAGTCCTTACCACGGGTACTTCCTGTTTGAGTTTCTGCCTATAGGAAGGGAGGAGCAAAATGGAGGTGTGATCTGATTTGTCGAAGGAAGTTTGGGGGAGATCTTTGTATCAGTTCCGGAAGACAGAGTAGCAATGGTCGAGAGTTTTGATGTGCGAGTAGTGCAGGCAATGTGGTGGTCCTCTGTAGCTCAGCTGGTAGAGCACGGCGCTTGTAATGCCAAGGTAGTGGGTTCGATCCCCGGGACCACCCATACACAAAAACTGTATGCACGCATGACTGTGAGTCGCTTTGGATAAAAGTGTCTGCTAAATAGCATATTATTATTATTATGTGTTGATAAAACTTCAGTAAAATGTTCCCTAGATTTTCTTTATTAAAGTCGCCAGCTACAATAAATGCGGCCTAAGGATATGCGGTTTCCAGTTTGCACAAAGTCCAGTGTAGTTCCTTGAGAGCCGTCGTGCTATCGGCTTGAGGGGGAATATACACGGCTGTCACGATGACCGAAGAGAATTCGTTTGGGAGTTAATGCGGTCGGCATTTGTTTGTAGGGTATTCTATGTCGGGTGAACAAAAGGACTTGAGCTCCTGTACGTTACCACAATCATATCATGAGTAGTTAGTTATGAAACATACACTTACGCCTATCCTTTTCCCGGAGTGTTGTTTTTTCCTGTCTGAGTGATGTACTGAGAACCCAGCTGGCTGTAAGGACGGGGACAGTATATCTGGAAAGAGCCATGATTCTGTGAAACAGACAATGTTACAGTCCCTCAGCTCGTCTACTTTATTGTCCAGTGACTGAACATTAGCGAGTAATAAACTCAGAACCAGTGGATGGTATGCATGCCTCCTGAGTCGGACTAAAAGTCCACTCCAAATACCTCTTCTCCGCCGGTGGCATCTTGGAGCAGCCTCTGGGATAAGTGAAATTGCATTGGGTGGGGGGGGTTAAAATAATGGATCCAATTCAGGAAAGTCGTATTTCTGGTCGAAATGCTGGTGAGTTACCGCTGCTGTAATATCCAAAAGTTATTTTTATATATATGTAATAATGCAAAAAAGCTCTGAGCTCTGGTTCTAATCCCCGAGCCGATTAGGTGAAAAATCTGTCGATGTGCCCTTGAGCAAGGCACTTAACCCTAATTGCTCCTGTAAGTCGCTTGTAACGCCAGGGTAGTGGGTTTGATCCCCGGGACCACCCATACGTAAAAATGTATGCACACATGACTGTAAGATGCTTTGGATAAAAGCGTCTGCTAAATGGCATATTATATTATTATTATTATGATGATGGAGTACATGATCTCTAAATGAGGCTTTCTAACCGTATTCAAAGTTGACCTCCTTACTGATCAGTGTTCCATGTCACTGTCTCTTCCCCCTCAGCACCTGCAGTAGGTCCCAACTGTAGCAGTACAGTCACTGTGCAGTCTGACTGAGGGAGGTTTTTGTACGGCTCTAAATCACTGTGTGAACACATCTTTACTATTGATGATGTGTACACTCTGACAGTAGTAATCTCCTGCATCTTCAGCCTGGACTCCACTGATGGTCAGAGTGAAGTCACTCCCAGATCCACTGCCACTGAATCTAGATGGAGTCCCAGAGAAGAGGGTGCTTCCATAGTAAACTAATGCTTTATGAGTTTCTCCAGGTTTCTGTTGATACCAGGCTAAACATGGTTTACCTGACCTAAAACAGTTAGGATGCACATCACTGCTGGTTTTACAGTTCAGAGAGACTGTCTGTCCTGGTAGAACAGCTTTCACTGTAGGAGTCTGAGTCACAGTGATCTGTCCTCTGGATTCTGAAAAATAGAATACAAACATTTATATGAATGCAATATTACATATAATAATCAATAGTTCTGAATAAAAAAATCAGATTAATATACATTTAACTTTTGTGTAGATGTAATAGTTTTACATTTTAACATTAATAGAAATTGTTCCTTTGCGTAAATATATATATTTTTCAACAATACATTCTGAAGAGTGTAACCTTGAAAGCAGAAAGCAAGTGTCCAGATGAAGATGGTGATAAAAGTCATGGTTGTTGTGGGTTCTGTTGTCATGAAGGACAGCTCTCAGTCATGAAGTGTTCAACTCACAGGGATATCAACACTCCCAGACCACTGAAGCATGTGCTGTCTATGCAAAATGTCCTTACTATGCAAACATACTTTTTTGATGCCACAGGGATACTGTAGTTGAAGAGATCTGTGTGAACAACAGCATTTTAAAGAGTGAGGCTGATTGTCCAGCCAACCATGGCCTTGATTGGTAAATGAGTCTCATCTGGGCTCAATCAAAGGCTGGGAAGGTTCTGGAAGGTTGGGCATGGCAGGAGAGAGGTTATGCCTTGACAGAACCTTAAGGTCGTTTATGTGGGTTATAATCATGTTATATTATCGCAAAGCAAAGTGTCTATATGTAATTATAAACAGGGTGGTTCGTGACATGAATGCTGATTGGCTGACAGCCGTGGTATATGAGACCATATACCACGAGTATGAAAAAAACATGTATTTTTACTGCACTAATTAGGTTGGTAACCAGTTTATAATAGAAATAAGGCACCTCTGGGTTTTGTGATATATGGCCAATATAACAGGCTAAGGGCTGTGTCCAGACACTCCGCGTTGCGTCATGCTTAAGAACAGCCCTTAGCCGTGGTATATTGGTCATATACCACACCTCCTCGGGATTTATTACATAAATAGTCTTCCTGGACAATCAGACTTATTCATGAATGTTGTGTGATGTGCTGTAGATACATGATATCCATGTAATCACTGACATGGTTTCTGATATAAGTGCTGAATGGGGACTGATATATTGATTATAGACATCTACAAATGGAGCATATTGTTATTACTGTGTTATTAGACCAGAAAGTATCTGCTTTCTGTCTCCCTCCAGTCGTCAGGGTCAGTAACTGCAGTCTGTGTGTGGACTGTGATAATGCTGACTGACTCTGATCTAAAGGGGAGATCTCCAGAGCTCTGATGTCTCCAGTCTCCTACTTCACCTGCTGCTCTCTGGAACTACCACAGTGGTGTGAGGGAGGATGTATGGGTAATGTTTAGGGGCTTTATTGTGTGTGTTTGAATCATGTTGATTAAATTCTAGCTATTCAAAACACAGGCCATCTTTAGGGGTTTTGATCATTGCACTTCATCTCTATTCTGATTGGTTGATGGTTTTCCTTGAGTTACTCAACAGAATCAACATGTAGTTAATGGTCAGGAGAAACATTTAGTGATCAGTTATGATCAAAGGTCTTCTAGACATAGCTCTAGTTTGACTCTATTGTTGATCAGCTCTACTACACACTGTGTCATTGTACTGGATCATCTCCTCCCCTCAGCACCTGCAGTAGGTCCCAGCTGTAGCAGTACAGTCACTGTGCATTCTGACTGAGGGAGGTTTTTGTACGGCTCTGTATCACTGTGTGAACACTGGACCACTGTGGTAACTCTGACAGTAGTAATCTCCTGCATCTTCAGCCTGGACTCCACTGATGGTCAGAGTGAAGTCACTATGAGATCCACTGCCACTGAATCTAGATGGAGTGCCAGATTTAAGTGTTGTAGCTTCGTAAATGATGAGTTTAGGAGCTCCTCCAGGTTTCTGGTGGTACCAGGACATACAGGTGTAATCCCCAGTACAATAATCTGCTACATCTGCATTGGTTTTACAATTTATAATAACTGGCTGTTCTGGTAGAACAGCTTCCACTGCAGGAGTCTGAGTCACAGTGATCTGTCCTCTGGATTCTGAAACAGAGAGAACACTAATAATTGTACATCAGCCGGAATTAATAAAACAATCTTAACAATCTGTCAGGTCACTCAAATTGTTTACTTTTCTTTAAACAAAAACATAACTCCCATTGTTTTTTACCCTTGATGTAGAACGCAAGTGTCCAGATAAAGATGTTGATAAAAGTCATGGTTGTTGTGGGTTCTGTTTTCATGAAGAACAGCTCTCAGTCATGAAGTGTTAAGCTCACAGGGCTATAAACACTTAGAGCAGTAGGGCAGATGCATTATGCAAATGAATGTCAGTTTCTAAGTAGGTTCCTATCATTAGAATCAACTTTATCCTTCATGTCCTAGCTTTTATAACAGCAAACAGCAACTGTTTACTCAGATCACTAATGCATGGTAACTTTTATGTCACACCACCATTGTATTTTTATTCTGATGATGATCAGATATAATGAACTGTCTGTTAACTCATGCTTGGTCTCTCATGTAAGTTCCTCTAATCAGTTAGTGAACACTTCTCTAAACTAAAGCTGGTAGGATTCCTCTGGTAGTGTTGTCTGTCCTCTGTGACTTTAACACCACTGTTAAATCGGAGATCAACATCTTTAATAAAGGAATATACAACATGGATCACTATCACTACTGCTGCTGCTGTTGTCTTTCATATGGACAATATGGAGGAATACTAGCAACACTGGATCTAATGCTGGACTGTACCTACAGACTAGGATAACACCTGATACACAGAAGAAGGAAAAAATACTCATATCTGGATTTAAGTTACAATTCATATTTGTATTATCTAGAAACAGATTATATGAAGTGTTTGTTCTACCTGGAAGATGTTAAAGTGTATTAGTGTTGAATGTGATTCTGTATGAGTGATCTTCACTGTAACAGCCGTAGCATCACAACACAGAGAGGTTTTTGTACCAGCAGTAATAGGGATTGTATCACTGTGGTGGACTTTTGGTAGCGGCACCAGACTTGATGTTGGAAGTAAGTAAACACAAAATTAACCATTTTATTTACCTTGTGATGTAGTGTTTCAATTTCTCTGTCAATTTAGCCTCGATATTGAGGATTTCTTAACATACCTTTTTTTTTACATGATTTTGGGTTGGAAATATACAATGGCCAGTTAGAATATGAATGTTATTACATCGAATCAAATTTGACCTGCCTTTAAACGATGAGAGTGATTAGTCTACATTTTAGATGAGTTGTATGAAAAAACATACTGCACCTTTTAAGAAATGTACAATAAAATTTTTGGGAAAACAAAACAGAAAATACTTTATTTCAAATGAACAAGATAAAATAATCTTTGACAAGTATTCATACCATAGTAGATTCAATGATTTAAAACAAAGTCTAAAGAAATTCAGCTTGCCAAATGGTCAGGAGGTTTTTGTACCAGCAGTAATAGGGATTGTATCACTGTGGGCCACTTTTGGTAGCGGCACCAGACTTGATGTTGGAAGTAAGTAACAAGCTCTCTTTATATTTCTTTCTGATAAAATGTGGTATTTACTTTCCTAAACTCTCTCTCTATTAAAATATTTTGATTTTAGATATTTTAGATGTTTTTCAAATTACATTTGAATAGTATTGGATATAGTAAGCATCATTGTTGCATTGTGTTCATGGTAGCCTTCACTGTTACTGTGAAGACAAAAGGTCTCAGTTTGAAACCGACTTCATGATCTAACATGTTTGATACCTATTTAAAATTAATTTATGCTCAAATTCTGCAAATACTATGAATATGAGTAGGCTATTCTGATCAGATCCATTCCTAAACAATATCTGTATGACATGTATAACTGACACCGTATGACTAGTAACTCTAGTTATTTAACCACTTTATACTTGTTAGGTTCATAAATCTGCTTTGTATCGTATTACTTTACTGTTTTCTCCACATCTTTTAAACAATGTAACTTTTATTATCATATTTAGAAGGCATTTCCAATTCACTTTATTTTGATGTGTCCTTTGCTGAAAATAATGTCTTACTGTAGCTGTACTTGATGTAGTTACTTAGTTGATGAGTTCTGTTTGTTCCAGGTAACAGAGCCCCCACCCTCACTGTCCTGGCCCCCTCTAGTGAGGAGCTGTCCAGTACAACAACAGCCACACTGACGTGTCTGGCCAACAAGGGCTTCCCCTCAGACTGGACCATGAGCTGGAAAGTGGACGGGACCAGCAAGAAGCAGGAGGCCAGTCCTGGGGTCCTGGAGAAGGACGGTCTGTACAGCTGGAGCAGCATCCTGACTCTCACTGCCCAGGAGTGGACCAAGGCAGGAGAGGTGACCTGTGAAGCCCAGCAGAAATCCCAGAGTACAGTCACCAAGACCATGAGGAGGGCTGACTGTTCTGGGTAGGACACCTCAGTCACACAGCCCTGTGGAGAGAGGCTGCTGGTTCCTCTGCTTTGACTCTGTTCTGAGATCAGATGTTCTCTGTCTTATTGATCACTGACATGTAGATTAACAGAGGGCTTTGCTTGAGTTCATGTGTCAATCCTCTCTGTAGACTGAGGTTGTATCAGTGTTAGATGTGATGTGTTCTGTTTTATTACTATTAGATACTGTAGGAATGTTTGCTTTGATGCTTTGATTAATGGATGAAATTAAAGATTTCCCTTAAGAACAAATATTTTCATTGTCTATTTCAATAAATCCAAATAGACGTTAATCTTAAATGTTGTTGAGTGATATAGAAATATATGCATATAACCTGATTCACAGTTTCTATGAAAAATATCCGACCTAAACCTCATTGATTAGTTATTTATGTTCTAACCACATCATTATCAACCAGTAGTTCATACTAACACAAGATACTACTATTTACACAGATTAACAGGAGAGGTTTAGCCACATTTAGTAGGTACTCTTTATTCATATTTCTTGGAAGTTTTTGACCTGCTTGGCTTATAGACTTATAAAGACAGTAATCTGATGCTTTTGAAAATGTCATCGATATCTTCGATGATCACCAATGTGCTCACACCTACATTAAGCTACATTCATTTTTAAGTTGTCCACATAATATTAGAAGTATCACATCTTTAAGATAGTCATTTGGTCTTCTCTACCTCCAACCCTCTGGGGACAGAGTGAACATCTGATGACAGTACTGTTCTATTCTGGGACAAGCAGAACCACCCAGCCCTGTCTATGCAAATCTTAGTTTCACTCACACAGCTCCCAGTCTAGCTGTTGACCAGTTTCACTGCCTGAAATACCCTGGAATGGGCCAGATGTGAGGGAGTGAACTGGTTTTAACCTCTATGGTTGATTCAGGGAGGGAGACATAACATATATGCCATCATGTAATTCATGACATATAATATGTCTGTTTGAGCCCATCATCATGTCACATTCACAGATCCAGCATCATGTCTCATTCACAGATGTAACAGTCAGAAACCTGCTCACCAAAATAGTTAATATGATGCTAGATGATCACATCAATATTTGGTTGTGAGGTGCATTATGGGAATTGTATCTAGGGGGGCTGATGCTGATATAACATCACCTTCTTCTTCTTTACTTCTCTACATATTATTTTGCATATTGGACTGGTATTGTGGGTATTTCAGAACTTCAAATAACTTTTGGAGGTGCACTACAATGATGATGATGGGGAACATGTGACAGAGCCATGTGATCCAGGCTCTGTCGTAGCTGGCCGCGACCGGGAGACCCATGGGGCGGCGCACAATTGGCCCAGCGTCGTCCAGGGAAGGAAAGGGAATGGCCGGCAGGGATGTAGCTCAGTTGGTAGAGCATGGCGTTTGCAACACCAGGGTTGTGGGTTCGATTCCCATGTGGGGCCAGTATGAAAATAAATAAATAAATATATATATATAAAAATATATATATATGTATGCACTCCCTAACTGTAAGTCGCTCTGGATCAGAGTGTCTGCTAAATGACTTAAATGTAAATGTGATCTGAATGATGCTTTCTAAACATATTCAAAGTTGACTTCACTAACCAGTGTTCCATGTCACTGTCTCGTGTATGACAGAACCTCAGGTTGTTTTAGTGGGTTATAATCATGTTAAATGATCTTAGTAAATATGGTTGAATCTTTGCTTGAAACTCACTACCTGACTGGGGGACATTGCAGAGACTGGGATATTTATTCTGAAATCATGTGAGACAATATTTCACAAAGATGGAGTCCATTCAACTTATTGTCTGACGTGTTAATAAAAGGTTAGTTTGCCATAGCAACAGGGAAGGCATATTTATGTGGTCTGACGGAACTAAAATAAACTGATCTTAATATATCAGTGATGCTGACTATAATGTCAACTTATCCATCCTCGTGTTAAATCATTCCTAAACTGACAACACCCACAGGTCCAGTGTTCCATGTCAATGTCTCTTCCCCCTCAGCACCTGCAGTAGGTCCCAGCTGTAGCAGTACAGTCACTGTGCAGTCTGACTGAGGGAGGTTTTTGTACGGCTCTGTATCACTGTGTGAACACATCTTTACTATTGATGTAGTGGTAACTCTGACAGTAGTAATCTCCTGCATCTTCAGCCTTGACTACACTGATGGTCAGAGTGTAGTCAACCGGAACTCTCGTTTTGCTCTGTTTGCTTCTTTTTGTTTATTTTTTCCAACAGAAATACAGGACGTGACCACTACAATACCAATGTCCAAGCAAGGCACAAATTATAATATTATTCACTGTTACACCACATTGGAAATGTACTTCAGTTTTAGCTGGGCTTGGCAGGAGAGGTGTTCCTCTTGACAGAACCACAGGATGTTTTAGGCGTTATGATCATGTTATTCCATCTCAATAATATGGTTGAATCTTCGCTTGAAATTCACAACCTGACAGAGGGACGTTACAAAGATTGGGGTATTTATTCTGAAATTATGTGACCAGGTGATTTCATTCTGAAATTATGTGAAACATTATTATTGCCCACAGATGGTGTCCTTTCAAAATCTTGTTTGATATATTAGGCAACATATGCATTTTAATTAATAGATGTTTGCCATAGCAAAAAGGAATAATACGTATTCAGTCTAGAGACTTATGGGTGTTATCACTTCAGAAATGCTTTGGCATGAGGATGGATAAGTTGACTTAATGCCAGCATCACTGATACATTTAGTTCAGTGTATTTTAGTTCAGTCAGTGTTCCATGTCACTGTCTCTTCCCCCTCAGCACCTGCAGTAGGTCCCAGCTGTAGCAGTACAGTCACTGTGCAGTCTGACTGAGGGAGGTTTTTGTATGGCTCTGTATCACTGTGTGAACACATATTTACTATTGATGTAGTGGTAACTCTATGACAGTAGTAATCTCCTGCATCTTCAGCCTGGACTCCACTGATGTCACGCCCTGGCTCTGGGGACACTGTTATGTTGAGCCAGGGTGTGTAATTCTATGTTGGTATTTCTATGTTGGCCTGAGTGACTCCCAATCAGAGGCAACGAGTGTCAGCTGGTTGTCTCTGATTGGGAGCCATATTTAACTGTCTGTCTTTCACTTTGTGGTTGTGGTTTCTTGTTCTTATTTGGTTTGTTTATGTAACCAGAGACATCACGTTTTCGTCTGTTATTTTGATCGTGTGATCGTTAAATAAATATAATGTTCGCATTCAACGCTGCGCCTTGGTCTCTCTCTGACGAACGTGACAGAAGAAACCACCAAAACCAGACCAAGCAGCGTGTCCAGGAGCCATCGCTAGCAGATCTCCGTGGCAACCTCGACTGGGTCAAGCCTAGTGAGGAGCAGAGAGGGTGGACTTGGGAACAGTTGAGGAAGAGCTTCGACTGGGTCAAGCCCATTGAGGAGCTGAATGGCGGGAGTTGGAGACAGAGGAGCGAGAGTTGGGCGAGAACGATGGAGGCCTGGCCCACGGGGAGGAGAGACCCCCAGAACATTTTTAGGGGGGGGCTCACGACGTCGGGGCAGCAGGAGGCCGCGATAGAGCGGTCCAGCGGGTTGGCAGAGGAGGCCGCCAGGTTACGGGGGCCACTGGTCGAAGAGGGGATGGAAGGTGGAGAGGCACGGCGAGAGGTACTGGGGTGTGTTACCAGTCCGGTCCGGCCCGTTCCAGATCCCGATGTAGGGCCAGTGGTGTGTGTCCCCAGTACGGTCCGGTCTGTTCCTGCTCCCTGCACCAAGTCAGTGGTGCGCTTCGTCAGCCCGGCTCGGCACATTCCTGCTCCCCGCACCAAGTCTGTGGTGCGTTTCGTCAGCCCTGTCCGGCCCGTTCCTGCTCTCCGCACCAGGTCTGTGGTGCGCGTCGCCAGCCCAGTCCGGCCCATTCCTGCTCCCCGCACCAAGTCTGTGGTGCGTTTCGTCAGCCCGGCTCGGCCCGTTCCTGCTCCCCGCACTAAGTCTACGGTGCGTGTCGCCAGCTCGGCCCGGCCTGCTCCCCGCACCAAGTCAGTGGTGCGTTTCGTCAGCCCGGTCCGGTCCGCTCCTGCTCCCCACACCAAGCCAGTGGTGTGCGTCGTCGGTCCGGCACGGCCCGTGCCTGTTCCACTGGTGCCTGGTCCGGCACCAGTCAGATGCGTTACGCCGGAGCTAGAGCAATCCGCTCCATCAGTGTGCAGTCCAGCTCCGGCCAGCGGGGTCAGACCGGACCAGGGGTACTTTGGGGGGTTGGAGAGGGAGTGGGGATCAGGCCCGGAGCCGGATCCGCCGCCAAGGCGGAGTGCCCACCCGGTCCCTCCCCTGTGGTATTTAGTTGGCGCGGTCGGAGTCCGCGCCTTTAGGGGGGGGTACTGTCACGCCCTGGCTCTGGGGACACTGTTATGTTGAGCCAGGGTGTGTAATTCTATGTTGGTATTTCTATGTTGGCCTGAGTGACTCCCAATCAGAGGCAACGAGTGTCAGCTGGTTGTCTCTGATTGGGAGCCATATTTAACTGTCTGTCTTTCACTTTGTGGTTGTGGTTTCTTGTTCTTATTTGGTTTGTTTATGTAACCAGAGACATCACGTTTTCGTCTGTTATTTTGATCGTGTGATCGTTAAATAAATATAATGTTCGCATTCAACGCTGCGCCTTGGTCTCTCTCTGACGAACGTGACAACTGATGGTCAGAGTGAAGTCACTATGAGATCCACTGCCACTGAATCTAGATGGAGTCCCAGACTGAAGTGTTGTAGCATAGTAAATAAGGAGTTTAGGAGCTCCTCCAGGTTTCTGTTGGTACCAGGCTAAAATGTTATTGTTGTAAACATCACTGCTGGTTTTACAGTTCAGAGAGACTGTCTGTCCTGGGAGAACAGCTTTCACTGCAGGAGTCTGAGTCACAACGTACTGTCCTCTGGATTCTGAAACATAGAATGAAAACATTTATATGAAATACGTGTTACATATAGTAATGAATAGTTCTGAATAGAAAGATTAACATTGATATACATTTCAATGGAGTAGATTTAATTAATTTTCAACAATTAATTCAGAAAAGTGTAACCTTGAAAGCAGAAAGCAAGTGTCCAGATGAAGATGGTGATAAAAGTCATGGTTGTTGTGGGTTCTGTTGTCATGAAGGACAGCTCTCAGTCATGAACTCCCAGACCACTGAAGCATGTGCTGCCTATGCAAAATGTCTTCTCTATGCAAACAGACTTTCTTGATCCCCAGGGAAACTGTAGTTGAACAGATCTTTGTGAGCAGCAGAAATTTAAAAAGTTTGAGGCTGATTGTTCAGCCAATCATGGCCTTGACTGGTAAACAAGCCTCAGCTGGGCTCAATTAAAGGCTGGGACGGTGCTGGAAGGTTCTAGCTGGGCGTGGCAGGAGAGGCGTTTTGCCTTGACTGAACCGCGGGTCGTTTTAGGGGGTTATAATCATGTTATATCATCTCTATAAATATGGTTGAATCTTTGCTTGATATTCACTACCTGACTGAGAGACCTTACAGAAGCTGGGTTATTTACTCTGAAATGATGTGAGGCATTACTATTGCACATGAATGGAGTCCATTCAACTTATTGTATGACATGATAAAAAAGGTTTGTTTGCCATAGCAAAAGGGAGGAATATTGATGTAGTCTGGACCAATGGGTGTTGTCAGTTCAGGAATGATTAAACATGAGGGTGGATGAGTTGACATAATTGTCAGCATCACTGATATATTTAGCTCAGTTTATTTTAGTTGTCAGTGTTCCATGTCACTGTCTCCTCCCCTCAGCACCTGCAGTAGGTCCCAGCTGTAGCAGTACAGTCACTGTGCAGTCTGACTGAGGGAGGTTTTTGTACGGCTCTGTATCACTGTGTGAACACATATTTACTATTGGGATAGTGGAAACTCTGACAGTAGTAATCTCCTGCATCTTCAGCCTGGACTCCACTGATGGTCAGAGTGAAGTCACTCCCAGATCCACTGCCACTGAATCTAGATGGAGTCCCAGGCTCAAGTTCTTCAGCATTGTAAATAAGGAGTTTAGGAGCTCCTCCAGGTTTCTGGTGGTACCAGGCCATACAGGTATAATCCCCAGTACATTCATCTGATACATCTGCACTGGTTTTACAGTTTATAATAACTGTCTGTTCTGGGAGAACAGTTTTCATAGCAGGTGTTTGAGTCACAGTGACCTGTCCTCTGGATTCTGAAACAGAGACATTTAACAACGTTTTATTGAACTGTGTTTGTTTTGTCTATTTTTTATTCAACTCATTCACTCAAGGCAGAAGCATTATTCAGATTACATATTTAAATTACATATTTAGATTACATATTACATAAAGGATGTCATTTTAGGAGCATTAAATTGTAAAATCTTACCCTGAATTAAGAATATCAATATCCACATAAAGCTCATGATAAATGTCATAATTGTAGTTGTTGTCATGAAGGACAGCTCTCAGTCATGGAGTGTTAAACTCACAGGGATATAAACACTCCCAGACCACTGAAGCATGTGCTGTCTATGCAAAGTGTCCTATATGTAAATAGTCTTCCTGGACAGTCAGACTGATGTGATGTAGAAACATGATAGTTACTTAATCACTGACATGGTTTCAAATAAGTGCTGAATGGAGACTGATATGTTGATTATAGACGTCTACAAATGGAGCATATTGTTATTACTGTGTTATTAGACCAGATTCCGGCTCAAATCGGTCTTATGTAGCAACATTTGAAATAGTGTATTTTACATTGGATAAAAGTAGAGACTCAGAGCTACAAAATGGTATATCATACACTGAATTTGAGGATCAATGGGAAAGTAATTCTGCTTTGAACGTTGATAAACTTGTAAACTCACTTTTGAGAAAATGGCCTTTGAATGTTTTAGTACCTACTGGAGAGCTCTCCTTTGTCTACACCCATTCAGCATTGTTCACACCCTCTTAAGCTTTAGCCCCACCCATCTCATTAAGGATTCACATGTGAGGTCATGTGTTAAACCGTGAGCAGTGTAGTAAAGATTAAGACTAAAAGTAGTAGCCTACAATAAAGAACAATTCCAGGTAAACAGAAAGTGTTCAGATAAAAATATTTTATAAATATTAGATGACGCTTACCCAGACACACTTGTCTAAATTGATGGGTCATGTGAAAAAAATGCTATAACCCCCAGCCACATCTTGCTAAGTGGATGGGTCTCTACAGAAGGTGTAAACGGTACAGCCAAATGGTTACTTGCATAGTATATCAGAAATAGATAGTGTCAATATAAATAATGTACAGTATGTACAAGAACAATATCAGTGATAGATTAGGTAGTTATTGGCATACAATCAGGGGTAAAGTGACTGAGCAGCAGGATAAAAAAACATATAGATATTAGCAGCAACGTATGGCGTGTGTGTAAGGAGAGAGTCATTTGAATAGAGGCACTGCAGATAGTGCTGATGACTGGTCCGTCCAAACCACACATGAACAAGGGAATCTATATCCCTTGACTTCGGCGCAGGGCATGTGATGTCCATAGCCTCTTCTGTCGCAAAACTCCCTGATCTTCTGAAATATATAAGTTTGTCTAGCTGTGTCCAGTCCAGGAGGTGCTTGTACAGGCAGACCATCTATGGGAGGAAGGATGTCAGCGTTGCGCAGCAGCTGAAACCTGGTCCCGACTGAGTCCGAATGCTCCTTGGCGACAACACCAGGCTCCAGAGCATCGAAGCTGTAAAACAGGAAATAACTAACCAAAAATAGAAGACATTACAAACTTGCATAACATCAATTCATCTCCCAAGTTTAGATAAGAAGAATAACCTCATACAATGCAATGAATAGGATATTCACCTGAAGTGCTTGTACTGCTTGATCTGTGGCAGCGTCCTGAAGTACGGAGTCAGGTGTTGTTGCCAGCCATAGCTTTCCACCAGCACCGTACCATCCTCCAGTCCAACCAGCTGTGGGATGTTGACTCCGTCACAGTGCTGGCCTTCACAACACCAGCAATCTCAGACAAAGAGTTTACTCTGGTCTTTCTGAAGTGCTGCTTGATGAGGCCGAAGCACCAGTCGGGGGCAAACTTGGTGTGGCCTGTGATCAGGAAGTGAAGGTCCAGACTGTGGTGGAGCTTGTGCCTGGTCCTCCAGGCACAATACCAGAGAACAAACTTGTTCTTGTTTTGGCCACTGCAGTTATCACAATTCAGGTCCACGTGTGTTTCCCCAACTCCGTAGTTGGGGAAGAAATGGAGCATGTAGTTGATGACTGCGCTGCTGCCTTTGCTGGATGACATCCCTTCATCAATCAAGTAGCTGATTTATGGTATTCCTTCACAGCAGACACCAAACAAGCCACATAAATAATCTCAGATTGTTCTGGTAATTCTCACATTGAAACTTCATTTGTTGGAAGTATGACATGTTTTTACATTTGTATCAAAAACAAGTTTTGTGAAAATGAGTTGCCAATCACGTTGGAGGTCAATTAAAAAATAAAAACATGTTGTTTATGCTTTACATTTTAGTCATTTAGCAGACACTCTTATCCAGAGCGACTTACAGTTAGTGAGTGCATACATTTTCATACTTTACACACCAAGTGTTGTCATCGATTCCTTGTAGAGACACCACACTGCTGCTTTTGTCACATGAGATGGCAGCAGCTTTCCACCAAAGTGTTTGTGTCCTGGGTGGCGTCCTGGTAATACTATTTCATTATCGAATCGAACCCACAACCCTGGCGTTGCAAACGCCATGCTCTATCAACTGAGCTACATCCCTGCCGGCCATTCCCTCCCCTACCCTGGACAACGCTGGGCCAATTGTGTGCCGCCCATGAGACTCCCGGTCGCGGCCGGCTGCGACAGAGCCTGGATTCGAACCAGGAGCTCTAGTGGCACAGTTAGCACTGCGATGCAGTGCCTTAGACCACTGCGCCACTCAGGACCCAGAAGTTCAGCACCTGCAGTAGGTCCCAGCTGTAGCAGTACAGTCACTGTGCAGTCTGACTGAGGGAGGTTTTTGTACGGCTCTGTATCACTGTGTGTGAACACATCTCCACTGTGGTAATCTCCTGCATCTTCAGCCTGGACTCCACTGATTGTAAGAGTGAAGTCACTCTTGAACCACCAATTAACCCTACACCTATATACCACTATTTCATACAAATAAAATCACTCTTCTGCAGTAAAATCTCGTACACCCAGCTACTTCTCTTCAGCTACCACCTACAAGACAGAACATAGTAGACGGTATGTGTCATAATGTGAATGATGGGCTATTTTTGTGTCCTGTGTTTATGACCTTTTAAGGACATCCTGTCCGGATGTTCTCACGCTATCGAATGAGTGCTTATGTAACTTGATAGTGCAGCTGTTCCTTTGAAGTAAAGCACCTGTTTGAAATAAAAAGTAATGTCCTGGGGATTGATGTGTGGTGTAGTGACCTTCTTGAACTGTTCAATGTGTTTGACATTTTTAAACAGTTGAGACTTTTTGTAGTGAATGGCTAGACCTGAGTTTAAAGTGTATGAAGAGTTGAAACAGTTGGGAATTTTTATAGTGAACTTATGGAGTTGCTGTGTAGTGAGCTTGTGACCACTTGTAGAATGAAAAAGTAATTTCCGAGGTAGGTCTGTCTGAGTATAAGTAAGTGTTAGCCCTGTGAACACTACCAGCGACAAGAAACCTCAAGAGAGATAAACCCCTGAAAACTCTACAGAAAACATGTCTCCTAGACCAATTCTAGGTGGAATGTGTCCTTCATGTCTGGGCCACAGACAATAGATGCCATTCTTTGTGATACACCTGATTGTTTTAATGGTGTGATTGATATGAGTGAAGGACAAATGGGTTACATTTTCCAACCGTACGATTCAACAGTGAAGATTTTCATAAACAGCTGTCTCAACACCCTTTTTCAGCATAAAACCGGGAGTTTTTCTCCTGCATTTCGCATGAGAGAATGGCTTAAGATAAGACTTGCTCTATGTCAGATCGAACAGGTCCCGAGTGGAACATCCCTTCCGGCGTACGCATTGGAAGAGGAAGCCTGCGGGCGAAATGATTTGAAAGCCATAAGAATCTATTTATAAGAATCTATTTGGTAACCTATAGTCCAGACTCCAAAGTGACAATTTTAGGTTGTTCTGAATTCAATAGTGCAAATGCCACCAAATCTGTTAGTACGTATGTATTTTCAAAAGCATGCACAGAGTTCAACTACTTTGTGCTTGTCTTTAGCTTCAGGTGGGGAGATTATTTTAAAGTGCTTGATATGATGAAACAAATACAAAAACAAATCAACCATCGTGAACATTTACGACGATGGTCCATTCTGTCCTCAAGACTAAACTTGGACTTAACATCAAGAAGGCTGATCTATCCTGGAAAAGAAAACATACCATACCTGGAAGGCCGTGGAGATCCAGCATGGAAGAGACATTGTCTGAGGCCCTCACAGCTTGACGACGGCGATTTGGAGACTGATGGTGGTGTTGGGTTATAATAGGCCCTCAACCAAGGCCTTTTTCCTTTAAGGAATGTAATTAAAAAATATATATACAGTGGGGAGAACAAGTATTTGATACACTATCGATTTTGCAGGTTTTCCTACTTACAAAGCATGTAGAGGTCTGTAATTTTTTATCATATGTACACTTCAACTGTGAGAGACGGAATCTAAAACAAAAATCCAGAAAATCACATTGTATGATTTTTAAGTAATTAATTTGCATTTTATTGCATGACATAAGTATTTGATACATCAGAAAAGCAGAACTTAATACTTGGTACAGAAACCTTATTTGATCACCTACCAACCAGTAAGAATTCCGGCTCTCACAGACCTGTTAGTTTTGCTTTAAGAAGCCCTCCTGTTCTCCACTCATTACCTGTATTAACTGCACCTGTTGAACTCATTACCTGTATAAAAGACACCTGTCTATACACTCAATCAAACAGACTCCAACCTCTCCACAATGGCCAAGACCAGAGAGCTGTGTAAGGACATCAGGGATAAAATTGTAGACCTGCACAAGGCTGGGATGGGCTACAGGACAATAGGCAAGCAGCTTGGTGAGAAGGCAACAACTGTTGGCGCAATTATTAGAAAATGGAAGAAGTTCAAGATGACAGTCAATCACCCTCGGTCTGGGCTCCATGCAAGATCTCACCTCGTGGGGCATCAATGATCATGAGGAAGGTGAGGGATCAGCCCAGAACTACACAGCAGGACCTGGTCAATGACCTGAAGAGAGCTGGGACCACAGTCTCAAAGAAAACCATTAGTAACACACTACGCCGTCATGGATGAAAATCCTGCAGCGCACGCAAGGTCCCCCTGCTCAAGCCAGCGCATGTCCAGACCCGTCTGAAGTTTGCCAATGACCATCTGGATGATCCAGAGGAGGAATGGGAGAAGGTCATGTGGTCTGATGAGACAAAAATAGAGCTTTGTGGTCTAAACTCCACTCGTCATGTTTGGAGGAAGAAGAAGGATGAGTACAACCCCAAGAACACCATCCCAACCGTGAAGCATGGAGGTGGAAACATCATTCTTTGGGGATGCTTTTCTGCAAAGGGGATAGGACGACTGCACCGTATTGAGGGGAGGATGGATGGGGCCATGTATCGCGAGATCTTGGCCAACAACCTCCTTCCCTCAGTAAGAGCATTGAAGATGGGTCGTGGCTTGGTCTTCCAGCATGACAACAACCCGAAACACACAGCCAGGGCAACTAAGGAGTGGCTCCGTAAGAAGCATCTCAAGGTCCTGGAGTGGCCTAGCCCGTCTCCAGACCTGAACCCAATAGAAAATCATTGGAGGGAGCTGAAAGTCCGTATTGCCCAGCGACAGCCCCGAAACCTGAAGGATCTGGAGAAGGTCTGTATGGAGGAGTGAGTCAAAATCCCTGCTGCAGTGTGTGCAAACCTGGTCAAGACCTACAGGAAACGTGTGATCTCTGTAATTGCAAACAAAGGTTTCTGTACCAAATATTAAGTTCTGCTTTTCTGATGTATCAAATACTTCTGTCATGCAATAAAATGCAAATTAATTACTTAAAAATCATACAATGTGATTTTCTGGATTTTTGTTTTAGATTCCGTCTCTCACAGTTGAAGTGTACCTATGATAAAAAATTACAGACCTCTACATGCTTTGTAAGTAGGAAAACCTGCAAAATCGGCAGTGTATCAAATACTTGTTCTCCCCACTGTACATACTGTATAAACATGTATTGTGTATTATTGTATAGTAGATTTTTAATCATTGTAATATGTATGATTTATATAAAGAAGAAAACTTGTATTTACCTTCATGAAATGAAATATCTCTTCCTCTGGCCCTCTGTCTCTGGGTGTGTGTCTGCCAGGATCCATGGTAGGTGAAAACATTAGTTCTATGAACAAAATACATTTAAAAAAACAGTCTTTCCAACAGAAATAATGATTACGCATTAGTCCTCTGTAGCTCAATTGGTAGAGCATGGTGCTTGTAATGCCAGGGTAGTGGGTTCGATCCCCGGGACCACCCATACCTAAAAATGTATGTACGCATGACTGTAAGTCGCTTTGGATAAAAGCGTCTGCTAAATGGCATATTATTAGATTATAAACATATATTGTGCAATAATAATAATATGGATGATCTATATAAATGTTTAGTAAAAAAAAGATGGTTATAGTTTCATATCGTATAGTACAACTTTAATAATAGTAATATGTATGTTTAAATGTATGTACTAAAGATTTAGAATAAAATAAAGAGGCTTACATTTTTATATTTACCTTTTAATATCTCTTTCTCTGGACCGCTGTCTCCCAGATCTCTCTCTATCTCTCTCTACCTCATCTCCTCTCTCTCGTTCTGCTCTCTCGCATCTCTCTCTCTCACCTATCTCCGTCGTTCTCTTCTCTCTCTCTCTCTCTCTCTCTCTCTCTCTCTCTCTCTCTCTCTCTCTCTCTCTCTCTCTCTCTCTCTCTCTCTCTCTACACAACAAGAGCCAATTGGGTCTGGGGGGGATGTGTGTGTGTGTGTGTGTGTGTGTGTGGAGTGTCTTTGAAGCCGAGGATGTCCGGACCTCTGTCTCTCCGTCCGTGGGTGTGAAAGTGTCTGTATGTGTGTTTGAACCAACGATTTTTTAAACTTGTCTAACATTTAAACTTTCAAAAAGACTTATCATCAAATCCATATATTTAAATAGTCAACATGAATGCTTCGTTGGGGGGACCTTTAACCCCTCGGACCACCAAACAACTGTCTGAAAAACGGTTCTGTCCGGGGGCGTCCGAGGATGTCCGGACCTCTGTCTCTGTGAACGTGTCGGTATGTGTGTTTGAACCAACGGTTTTTAAATCTGTTTAACTTTTACCCTTTTAAATTTCTCAGCAAATCCATATATAAATGGGCAACAACTGTTTGGGGGGGCCCTTACACACTAGGTCACTATATATACATAAGGGTACCCTCAAACAACAGTTTGAAAACAGTTGTTTGGGGCATCCTGAGATGTCCGGAGCGATGTCCGGGGGAAATGTCCGGGGAAGTCTATGTGGGAGCCCCCCCCAACCCCCATGTGTGCCCAAGTACATATTTGTTAGCCCATTGTAGTGGAAATTCTAATCAATAATGAGGAGAGACAGGGTCAATCACCAATCTGGATATAACTTTATTCAAAACGTATTAATAAGGTAATAAGCGAGGCTGGTCGGCCCAACAGTCTTGACTGATGGCTGAGAGCCCTGCAATAACAAATACAAATATATTTTATAACAAAGACACACCCTCTTAGTCTACATGACAAATAACAGATGTATGGAATGGGTTACAAGGTGAAACTTAATATATGAGAAAGGAGTTTCCCCCAGCCAGATAGCATTTGCCTTGAAGACTGTTCTTATTGTACAGAAACCAGAGTTTGGCCCCTAAGACAAGCTTCCTCTCATCATTATCCATACCCGAGCCATCTCTCCCTGTTACCTCATTACACAAACACCAACTCATTCTATGGAATGCATGCTGTAGGTTTTATCACCAAAGGCTTCGTAAATCTACTGTCAGTGTTAACACAGACACATGAGAGTTTCTAAGAACCCTATTCTATTGCAGAAAACAACCATTTGATGCAATAACAGTATTATAGCATAGTCTTGTAATTTTGCTCTCACACCATATAGAGTCAGGATGTAAGGCATACTAGTTATGGCAAACGTTAGGAAGACCTGGTTGTTGTAAAAAATATATATATATAAACAACCAAAAAACAGCGAAGCTTTACTTTGACCACGTCTTTTCACATACGTTTTATTTGGGTCTTTTTCATTTACCAGGTTGATTGGCTCCAGCCAATGGAAGCTCGGTGCATGTACAAAGAAAAATAATGCAATTCAACTATTGATGGATGGAGATGAAAATAATAATATTGTCATGTTAATTAAGGTTTTCAATGTTTTATTGGTGGAGTTTATGGATTTGCATGTGGCTGTGCATTATATGATGCCTGAATAGGAAAGAGGATCTGATCATACCTATTGGTATTCTTGATCTCTTCTTGATTCAAAAAGACACACCACTGTTTTTGGGTTAATTCCACATCTGCTTACATTGCTTGGTAGTGTATTAGCATGGTATGAGAACATAAATAATACAATTTAAGTCAAATTATAATAAAGAGTATTATCCTAAATTGAGACGTGAATAAAAAACAAAATCTTTCAGAATGTACCTGTTTTCAGTAGATTAAATTACAACTTTTAAAGTTTTTTCTTAAAGATTGTTTTTTAGTAAATAGGAAAATCAACAGTGTGTTAGTCCGAGAAACATTAACTAGATAGTTGTTTTATATTTGTGAAACCTTGAAATGTACACAATGAGAAGTGATTTTGTAACAACATTTTTTAATGGGTAATTGTATCAAATATATATATATATATCATTGTATGTTTGAATTAGTGCTCTTATAAACTGTTTTCATCACTGCCCTGTAAACCCATTATTGTGAGTTGGAGCTACTGTACATGATTGTCTGGGGCTGCTGTACAGAGAAGTCGTAGAGCATCTAAAAAAAAAAAAGACCTAGGCTAAAAATTAGAGAGGAACCATGCTCCGAGGGCTGTGCTGAGTGCACATTTAAGAGTACGTGTGCCCCTTATTGTTATTCAAGATGTTCCAACGTTCGTAGATGACCATCAGGGTCAGATAGTAACCAGGGTGGCTATAGAGTGGGCAAAAGTTCAACACTCAGGAGTCAATGTCATGTCATTTGTCTTTTTCATAGCCTGAGAGAGAGAGAGAGAGAGAGAGAGAGAGAGAGAGAGAGAGAGAGAGAGAGAGAGAGAGAGAGAGAGGGCCTACCTGTAAGATATTTTGTGATATTTTGTGCTACAAACATGCTTCTATTTGAAGAGGTTTTCGACCATTCAGGGACCTAATCTCAAACACTCATGAAAACATGAAAAACATATTGTCTCCACTAAAGAATGTGATTTGGTCATAAAAAGGCTTTTTGACAAGTTATATGCATGAAAATAAAGATGCTTAAGAAATGTGACATTTTGGAGAGATTTTGGGGCACTATAGGGGCTGCCTAGGCCTTGTTATGGATAAATGTCAATAAATATAGATTGGTAAAAGATATCTGCTCCATTTATGAGTCCCATGTTGACATGATGTTGGGGAATCGCTGGAGGGAAATATTGACTAACTGAGCATCTCAGTGTACAGCTCAATAAACACTGTAGGCTTTTTGTTACATTTCAGTCTTCTGTGATATATTTAAAGTGTCAAAAATGAATCCATTTCAACTATATCTGGCATGTTACTGGTGTCTTCTTTTTTAATCCCATAACCATGTGTGTAAGGTGTATACTTTTGTTTCACAGTAGATTTGTTTAAGACTACCAAGAAACACTCTGTGTGCCCCTGATTTAACCCACTGCATTAAAAGGTTATTAAGGGGGTAAAATTAGCTGTTTAAGTCATAAGTAAAGGGTTCATCTTAAAGAATACTGTTACAGGAGGGGGTCGCAGTTCCGGAGCGACCCACTAGGTGTCATCCTCCGACAACCTTAGGCACCTCCTCACTCACAGTCTGGACTAATCATTATCCTATTAGTGTCACCTGTGTCTACCTGTTCACCTGTGTATTTATGCCCTCACTTCCCTGTGTTCCCTTGCTTACCACCTCCGGAGAGGTACGACGGATGTCCAGAGGGCTGCAGGGAATTCCTCACCCAGTGTTCCCTGATATTCAGCCTACAACCCTCCTCCTTCCTGACGGAGTAGGGCCGGGTGGCCTACATTATCACTCTGTTGACGGGTCGGGCCCTTTCCTGGGCTACCTTGGAGTGGGAGAGCCAAACTCTGGCATGCTCAGATTCCTACCTATTCACCTGGGAGCTAAGCAAGGTGTTCGACACCTCTCGGTTGGTGTAGGGGCACGAGGCCAGGAGGCGGCTCATGGCCTGTCGGCAGGGTGACCGTTCGGTGGCGGACTACTCCGTGCAGTTCCGGACCCGGGCTCGAGTGGCAGGATGGGAGGAGGCCGCCCTGGTTGTCCTTTACGCTCAGGGGCTATCGGAGGGGATTAAGGACGAACTCACCTTCAGGGAGCTGCCTGAGAGACTGGACGGCCTCATTGACCTCTCGGTGCGGGTAGACAATCGGCGTCGTGAGAGGGTGCACGAGAGAGGCATGACGCAAGGCGCGCCTCCGCATCCCCCTATCAGCCCAGAGAAGCCGGGTAAACGGGAGGGCTTGCTAGTATCGGGAGGGGTGCTAGCGAGCCGGAACCGAAACCCCAACTCCAGAGACTCCCAGACTTTTCTCCCCGTCAGTGTTCAGTGGGCCCGCACTGCGCGTCGGGCGCATGCACTGGTGGATTCTGGGGCCACGGGAAACCTGATGGACGCAGGGCTGGCTCAAGGGTGGAGCGTTCCGTTACTCTCCCTCTCCGAGCCGGTTCCGGTCATGGGCCTGGATGGCCGGCTGTTGGGGTCGGGCTTCATCACCCGGCGCACTGTGGCGGGGGGCTATGGGAGGATATCCAGTTTTCTAGGTCTTGATACTACAATGTTAACAGATTAACAGGAGAGGTCTAGATACTACAATGTTAAGAGATTAACAGGAGAGGTCTAGATACTACAATGTTAACAGATTAACAGGAGAGGTCTAGATACTTCAATGTCAATAGATTAACAGGACTGGTCTAGGTACTACAATGTTAACAGATTAACAGGAGAAGTCTAGATACTACAATGTTAACAGATTAACAGGAGAGTTCTAGTCACATGTAGCAGATGATACTATTTATTCATCTTTCTTAGAACAGTTTTTGACCGGCTTGATTAATATACTTATAAAGGCAGCAATCTACAGATGTAGGATTTTTAATTTGATCACCCAGTCGCACGAGAACTATCATGGAATGTATGACATATAAGATGAACAGTGTATTTGAGATTTAAAAAGACTTCTGAAGTTTGTAATTTCCACTTTGAAATTTCAGACATGATTTTCCCTTACGAAAGACGTATCAACGTAAATTAATAATAATCCACATAATAATTCACATTTCCTGTTGCTGCAGGATTATCTTCCTGCTGTAGCAAACTGGCTCAAATTAAGATCCTACATCTGTAATGCTATTGAACATTTGATCAATATCTTGGACTCTCACCAATGTGATGATCACACCTGCATTAAGCTACATTTGTTTTAAAAGTTGTCCACATAATATTACCAGTATCACATCTTCAAGATAGTCATAGAGTCTTCTCTACCTCCAACCCCCTGGCAACAGAATGAACATCTGGTGACAGTACAGCTCTATTCTGGGACAAGCAGAACCACCCAGCCCTGTCTATGTAAATCTCAGTTTCACTCCCACAGCTACCAGTCTAGAAGTTGAACCGTTTCACTGCCTGAAATACCCTGGACTGGGCCAGATGTGAGGGAGTGACTGGTTTTAACCTCTGTGGTGGATTCAGGGAGGGAGAAACAATAGATATGCTATCATGTAAATAATGACAGATAAAATGGGTATTATAGGGTACTAGGGGGTAACTAGCCCCGCCTAAGAACAATGCCTAATTAATGACACAAAAAAGCAACATTTGGGAAAAAATTGGTATGTGGATGAAGGTCATGCTTAGGCAAATAAACTATAAAGGGAAATAAATAGCTACAGTTGACACTTATTTAGTTATTTCATGAAATGTTGTTTTTAGAAAAGGGGCATTTTTTTAATGGACCGGGGTAATTGATGTGGTTGCTCAGCTATTGCACGATTCTAATTTGTACTTAGCTAGCTATCTAGTTATATGACATAAAATGCTGTGTAAAATAGCTAAAAGGCGATAAAGTAACATTAACTATAAAGGTATCAGAACTAGACGAAACAACTGCAATTAAGTTACGTTATATTTGTAATGTATTTTACATCAGATGATCTGGTAGTAAAGTTGCTAGCTAGCACTCCTAGCAGCTTATGCTAACTAGCTAGTTGGCTAGCATTTACTGCTAGTGAAGTATCTAGCTAGCACGTTAGCATAAACTAGCGCTAACTGGGCTAGTCATTGTCTAACACATTTAAACCGATAAAGGGGTATCTAGCCCCCAGGGGCCAGTTACAGTGGGGGGAAAAAGTATTTAGTCAGCCACCAATTGTGCAAGTTCTCCCACTTAAAAATATGAGAGAGGCCTGTAATTTTCATCATAGGTACACGTCAACTATGACAGACAAATTGAGGAAAAGAAATCCAGAAAATCACATTGTAGGATTTTTAATGAATTTATTTGCAAATTATGGTGGAAAATAAGTATTTGGTCACCTACAAACAAGCAAGATTTCTGGCTCTCACAGACCTGTAACTTCTTCTTTAAGAGGCTCCTCTGTCCTCCACTCGTTACCTGTATTAATGGCACCTGTTTGAACTTGTTATCAGTATAAAAGACACCTGTCCACAACCTCAAACAGTCTCACTCCAAACTCCACTATGGCCAAGACCAAAGAGCTGTCAAAGGACACCAGAAACAAAATTGTAGACCTGCACCAGGCTGGGAAGACTGAATCTGCAATAGGTAAGCAGCTTGGTTTGAAGAAATCAACTGTGGGAGCAATTATTAGGAAATGGAAGACATACAAGACCACTGATAATCTCCCTCGATCTGGGGCTCCACGCAAGATCTCACCCCGTGGGGTCAAAATGATCACAAGAACGGTGAGCAAAAATCCCAGAACCACACGGGGGGACCTAGTGAATGACCTGCAGAGAGCTGGGACCAAAGTAACAAAGCCTACCATCAGTAACACACTACGCCGCCAGGGACTCAAATCCTGCAGTGCCAGACGTGTCCCC